TGACTTAAGTGGTTGGCTTTAATGAGCACTCCGGGTCAAGATGTTAACATGTTACCCTTTCGTTGGTAGTGGTCTATTCACAGCAACAGTTGTTACCAAGTTAAACTTCATACAATGAAATAATGCGCTTGAGTGATCTCACTGAATGGCTCACCTATTTCTAGTAGTCTAAAACGTACCTTTGATCTAACCACTGATCGATCCTTAACCCTTTTGCACCTAACTGTGACTGGCATCTAATTTCTTCTTACAATATCACCTTCGAATCACACATTTAAGACACAATTTTTTCACGTGCGTCATTATATGAATCCAAATTCATAAGGAAAGCTATATTAGGTGATATGTCACCATGATCACTCGTGGAAATTTCGCGGTCTCTTTCTGATACAATTGCGCAATTACAATCGATATTGATCCTTATACAACTGACAGAGGTTACCAGAACAGATGGAAAACGTCCGCTATAATTATATAAGAAGTAATTAAAAGCGATATAAACTTGACATTTATTACCAAAATCAATCGAAAGAAAAACGGACTAAGGCGGGAAAAGTACACTTCGCTCCTTCACTCAGTAATGAGCGAAAACGACCCTAATTGAATTTACTTTTAAGTCAATTGTTATTTTGAATTATTGCCACCCAAACTGACTCTCATCCTATCTGTTAAACAACCTGTTGCTGCGACGCAAAATATTCAAGAAGAAAGAAAACTGGTCTAACCGTGTAGAGAACTTTAGATAAATTGCAAGTTTTGACGAAATTCATGTTCAACACTTAAATATTCTTCACTCGGGCAAGAGAAAAAACGAAAAAAATCGGTAAATATTTCGCCACCACGAAACCACTTTAGTTGGTATCAGCTTTAAAAACAATTACAACCATGAGTTCAAAGGCGAATGCTTCTTCTCACAGATAGATTCTACTGTTTTTTTTTTTTTAACTCAGCTTTTCATACCTATCTTAATGTGAGGATCAAATTAGAAAAGCTTTCCAGCAAAAGAGACTAGTTCTGGATCCAACAGTCGCCCAAGTACCAGCTTCTAAATTCCCTTTTGTTCTTGTTTGGAATCCCGATTCAACTTATTTCACGTCGAGACAGTCACATGCAGCCCTTATAAGTTATATGAGGGGGTTCGAGTAAATTTTGGTGTATCATAGCTTCTCTTAAAATTAAACCACACATAATTTCACGGATCATTTCAAAAGAGATCATTTCTACGTGCGATTTTGATTTCTACAATGATAGACAGCCTACGATAAGCGAACAGCACCCTTAACTCGGCCGCCTTACAAAATATGTTCCAATGTCACTTTACCTAGGTTTTTCACGTACCAGCCTTATGATTTCCTCGAGATTTTCTCAGCGATACCGTCTTCCATCACATTGCACACGGGGCCATGATTCAATCGAGATAATTTAGAATCGTTTCACGCTGCTGAGACGAAAAGTAAATCATCCTTTGTTCTCGAACGATTTCATTGCAATGCGGTGATCTGGCATTCTTACGTAAAAACCCATTGACCCGTGAACCAGTATTTGACTGTTCACTGACCAATCACCGCATCTGGGAAGTTTTGTTAAGTTAGGACCATCTGTTACCTGACAGGTGTATAAGCAGGTTGGAAATACTTTCCGCATCATGATTTTTCTCTCTCTTAAGGATCGCAATTTGCTCTGACGGGTAAAATGTGTCAAAATGGAAACAAAATCGTCATCAGTCCGGTGAATTCAGTAACATTGCAAGTATTTGCCGAGAGCAGAATTAGGATGGAGAATATCTTGTCGTCAAAAATTATAGAAAAATTTGTTTCTGTGAAGATCTTAAACTACCAGCGCAAGTATTAGGGTACGGTTCAGCGGGAAGTTTGGCCATGAAGCCAATACAATTTATATATATATATATATATATATATGTATTTTAACGAAGCACTTTTGACTTTCGGCGCACGGCCATGGTCAGGCAGGTTCCTCTTTTCACTTCGAAAATAATGGCATGATGGACACCTAGTTTCTTTTTTTGTTTTGTTTTGTTTTGTTTTTGAGACGAGAGTCCTAAAGCGTTGTGGGATAGGGCACTTCAAGGCTTTGATGAGTGCTTAGAAGTGGACGCTATTTTGTAAAATTCGGTGATGTAACCAATGTTCTGGTAGTCAGGCCCGAGCTGTTCGAAGTAAACTTTTTAATACTAGAATTAGATTTCATCACTCTGTAGAAAATACGCAATGCTGTCGATTCTTAACATAACCAAAAAAACTGACAACTTTTAATAAAAAAAAAGGCCCGACCAATTACTGCTCTTGACATTGGAACAAGCCATCAGTGTCATCACTTCGCCCAAAATGTGGGAAAAAGTTGCAGTCTCACTAACCTCAGAATTTTTCAAGTGAGTTATTTGAATTTAAAGACGACAAACATTTGTGTGTTTGTTTGTTTGTTTGTGTCGTTCTGGCCTTTCAAATTGACTGAGTCTTTGGTCACTCCTTGGACCTCTCAACCTGAGATGATGTCTGAAAGACCACCTCACTTACCCAGGTCTGTTGAATTTTATGCTGTCACTTTTTTTCTCACTGTTCTGTCTTGAGTTACTTGATTCCTTCTGTCTACTGATAGGACGATGTAGCCTCCTATTGATGTCACGCGATGCACTTACGGTTCCGTGACAAACTCATGATCCGGATGAACAAAGGAGATTGAGAGTAATAAGACCTTGTTTAACTACCAATTAGTTCCAAATTTTATTTGTTAAAATAACGAAATTTGTTTATTCACATGGTTTCTTAGATCTCATTGCAAATTTGCCATAATCTCACCTCTTCCTTCCCATCGGCCCCTTTGTCAGTGTAGCGATTATCTTCCATGACCCCACTAGGCCACGACCGCTTATTGGTATGTGAAAATTAAGTATTGTTAGTATAACGACAAAACGAAAACAGAAATAATTTTTCACTCCTGACTCACTGTAATAAATGCACCGAGAAATCATTGTGGCAAACTTTGATGTGTGATAACTAAATACGACCACAACAACATTCAGCGGCGAATTGGCACCCCTCCTTAGCTCAAAATTTTCATTTAGAAACCACCTGGAAATTAGAGCCCCTTACCATCCCCTAAAGAGTAACGAGCCATTAAAAGCAGAATCTACAAGACGTATGAAGCACTTTTATTCAGGGCACATGTCCTTTTAAGCAGCACAGGTTTACTACTCCTTTCCTTGAAGAATAAATACATGAGAGCTTAGAGCAGGGTTTATGACTTCCGCTCTAAACTCGAAATGGGCCCACTTTCTCGGAAAACGATAAAATCTTCAGCTTAGAGTTATTGGTGTATTAATAATATCCACCTTTTAGAGCACATCCTTTCTTGAACCCCTTTCTTGAGAATGGCCCTCCTCTCCCTACTCATTCTCTCCTCGTCCACACGAGAGTGAGGCCATTTCATCGTCATTGTGCAATACGCTCTCTCCTTCAGTCCTTTTACCTCTGGACGCCATTACGGCATCAGTAGTGCCTTACTGCAATCCAGAGAAATCACACTGCTACCATCATGGTGAGTGGCCATCGTGGTTCCATCGTTTTCAATCTGTATTATATTGTATCCGATAACGTCAAATGACACCTCTTTCGTAAGATTTCTTTAAAATGCGATAGAGTTTTTAGCGTCCAGTTAGAATATATAGTCGCCATTTTTAACCGGCCTTTTAACCTCAAGAGTGATGTATAAAAACTTTGGCTCTCGCTAAGTCGTTATTGTTGCTAACTAATAATTTCTTTTCTTTTCCCTTTTTCAGCCGAACTTCACGATAGACCAGGTAAGTCGGGACCTCAAAAAAACTGTTTTCAATCTTTTGTATTTTGAATGAGGGAATTTGTGTGAAACGTGGAATCATACAACGAAAAATTTGTGCGATGCAACTATCAAGTCCTTAACGGTTGTCTTTTCTATAAATAAGAATCGTTAAGCGGGAAGGTTATTTACTTAATAACTAGTAGATTGATAAAATCGCAAGGCAAAGGAAAGGATCGCAGGGAAAATTATATTTACCATGAAGTTTTAGCACAAATAATTAACTGAGTGTGATCGATCTCTCTGGTATCACACCACCGGAAGTATCGAATCGTGTTCAGAAAAGGTTGAAATGGATGAATTACGTCACTACTGACGTCTAATCGAGCCAAAGATCGTTTGAAACCCTTTTTACTCGACGGTAAATTGCCTTGAATGTGGTAGAAGGAACCAGTTGTGCTCAAAACTCCTGTTTCGTCTTCATGCAATTTTTTAGTGTGCACACTTTCTTCATTTACAACAATTTGTTCACAGTCTGATAATTTCACATAGAAATAATCTGGAAGTGGTTTTTGTCTCTTTTCCCATGGGAAAGAGTTGAACAAAACTCTTCTTCAAATGCATTATACATTAGGGTTTTTTCTTTTCCTTTCTTTTCTTTTCTTGAGAATTTGTGCAAGTGCAACAGCATATCCAACAGGCGATTTTTGCTCAGAGCTGGCCTTTTTAATGCTTCTTCCATTAACTTAAACTGTTCCAAGGGTTCTTTTATTATGGAATCCAAGCTTGATATAGTTTTGCACACCACAAAAATGCAGGTCAAACACCAAATTCTCGCAACCAATTTACAAGGAAATGTGTAATATCTAGAGGGGAGAATTAACAATCAGAATTAGGAGTTAAAGGATTAACAATAGATCAAGTAGCCATTAAAATATCCTCTCTCCATAGTAGTCTTCTTTCTCTCTAATAAGCTAGGATATTCTACCATTTATGTCAGACAGCATCTCAAATGGCATTTCACTGTGCTAGATGGGCTCTAATTTTATTTGGTTTTGCTTTGGTTGCAAAATACTGATAAGTGTAGTGCAAAGAAATCTTTGGGTTAAGATTTTTTTTTTAAATAAGAGCTAAAGACAACTTCAAATGTGACAGATTTTTTTCTTTGCTCAGCTCTAATAATTTTGCTTCAATGGAAAGATTGTGAAGAACATATGATTTTAACCCTTTACACTTTAACTACAAATTCTCCTTAAAGAACAGTAATTTCTCCTCACTGTTCTTTATACATTTCCCATGGTACACACAAGGGAAAGAAGTGTCCAACAATCAAGAACTTATGGAGTTTGCTATCATTTCCTTTATTCTAGTGACCTTAACATTGGTTTTGGGGCTGATACTAAGGGGAGAGATAAGATGCTTACCACTCTTGGGGTTAAAAGTCAATTCTGTGTTATTTTCTGTGTAAAATAAGGGACCACCAGGGACAATAAAGTTTGATCCATTTTAAAGGACAATATTGATTGGTGACCTGAATATATGTAGCCTTTTAATAATATCACCTGTTCTTTTTAGATCCGTGGGATCATGGACAAAAAGAACAACATTCGTAACATGTCTGTTATTGCTCATGTTGACCATGGAAAGTCCACCTTGACAGATTCTTTGGTCAGCAAAGCTGGAATTATTGCATCCGCAAAAGCTGGTGAAACAAGGTTTACAGACACCAGGAAAGATGAACAAGAGCGTTGCATTACTATCAAGTCAACGTAAGTCTTAGAAGTTGAGTCTTTTTTTTAAAGTTATGGCCTCTTCTGTAAAAGGAAATTGTCCATGTTGAACACATCAAACTTAAAGAGGGGTTAGGATAAAAAGCAAGCCACATCTGGAAAATTGTGGAAACTGTTTGAGGGTTGAGCACAAGATAACATTTTCAATGTCACTTGCAGCACTCAGATAACTGAAGAAGAAGCATTTAAGAGTATGATGTGAAAATTATGCACTCTAATCCTGTAAAAGTATACATTTTCTTAAAGCTTAATAAACACTGATTTTGGATATATAATTTATTTTCATAATTTGTGCTACAGAACAGAATGAGAGCTTAGTCATTCATGCTGAGAAATTTTTCTAGATAAGTTTATTTGTCAATGCATTTTAATCAACCCTTTTTTGTTGGACTGTGATCTGCACATATTGATCTAAAAAAGTTTGACTGGGATTTGTAATTTAAAGCCTGGTTATTATTTTATCATTTTTTAACTCAAAAGTAGCGCTTTTGAGCAAAGTTTTCACTGTTACATTTTGAGTGTAGCTCTCCTCCATCTGCCTGACCTCTTTCTTCCTCTCTTTGCTGGTTGAAGCACCTTCCATATCAGCACAAATGGCTACATATTCATATATGTCACATGTAACCTTCTCAACCTAATAACTCCTTACAAATTGTATGGGCTCTTTGCCTTCTACCATGCATCAGCATTGACAGGCAAAACAAATGACTTATTACAATGTGATTGGGTAACAGCCTTCACAGGTGTGAAGTAGAACACATTTATGTAAACAAACATCAATGCCCCTTAAAATTTTAAAGTTTCTTTTTCTGGTAAAGTGTTTTGATCCTTGAAGACTTTATTCTCGAATTATGGTCAACTCGCCGACGGACCAACTCGCCAATACCAACTCGCTGACGTATAAAATCGAGTAGAGACGTTGGCGAGTTGGTCGTCAATCCAATACAACTTATTAGAAGTTAAACATACAGAAAAGTAAACGATATTTAGTAAAAAAACACTGGTGAACATTGGTGAACATCAAACAGAAGCTTAAACATTGGTGAACATCACCAATGACTAGAACAGCTTAAGATGCGAACGAGTTGTTGTGCGACAACAACACCATAAAGACTCATTATGTCAATCGCTCAGATTTTTTAACGAAAACTTGGCTTTCTAGACAAGATCTTTAGTAAAAAGCATTTCTTTCTATTTGCAACAAAGTTTATAAGGATCTCAAGGCAAATAAAGCGAAGTAAACATCGCCAATGACTCTAACAGCTTCAA